TTTTCGAAAAATTATAGGTGGAAATTATAATTTTCCAAAAATTGAGGGACCAAACTGCAAATTTTCAAAATTACAAACTGACCGGTGACGTGGTAGATGACGTGGCAGTGACGTGGCGGTGACTGGGCGATGACGTGGCAGCTGACTGGGCACTGGTAAAAGTTGGCAGTTGACTGGTGACGTGGCGGCTGACTGTGCTGGGACTTCACATGTGGCGCTGACGTGTCGCTGACGCAGCTCTGGCTGGCTGATGACGTCAGCTGTCTTCAACCTCTGTCTGCGCGTGATGACGTCAGCATGACGCAGGCAGTTTTTGGCCGATGTTTGGCGGCGCGTACGGCAGCTTCCGTTGGCCAAAAAAATCCCCAAAAATACCAGTTTTCTCGTCTCAACGAGACGAATCCAACGGTATATTCAGATTGCAATTCCGAGCAATACTGAAAAACTCGATTTTTCAGACAGTAGAATTTTATCTGAAAAAAATATGGGAAAAATATCAAAAGCTCAACTTGGCTCTGATACCACTTGTTGGGAATAACAGGATCGTGCTAATATGAGAGAAAAACACTTCTATTACTTTCAAGAATAGAAAGAAGAGACATACAAGCTCTAACTAAAAACTCTCAAAACACCTCACATATCTCTCAAGGATATTCACAACTCAAACTTGGTTGTGGTATTCTAATCTATGATCTAAATTGCTTGATGATAGAAAGACTCTCCAAGCTCTCTATTTATAGTACCAAAACAAGGTAGTATGAAGGTGGGAGGAAGATGTGTTGAAGCTAGGAGGAAGCTTCAATGGAACATGAGGAAGCTTCAATGGTGGTTGAGGAAGCTCCCCTTGTCATTCTTGCACATGGAGGAAGCTTCATGGAAGCTGTGAATTGGATTCTTCAATTTGCTTGTACTTGGATATGACCTGGAAATTGAATTCTTCACCTACGGCGGTGTGAGATGCAGAACCAGAGAACGACATTAGCTGCAGCCCTTTTTTATTATTAATTCAGATAGCCAAACGACGTCGTTTGATTAAGTGCACAGGATAATATGAAACGTCGTCGTATTGGCCAAAAAAAATTAAACAGGTGTTTGACCCTCTGGATTTGCTTAATTGCTCGGCCCAAAACTGAAGAGGCGAAAGTGCGAAACCTAAAATAGAAGGCTGAAGGGGCGAAGTAGAAACTTCGAAGGGCTACGCTGAGTGAGGCTGAAAGTGATGCACTATGGGAGTAAAGTTCCTTTTACTCCGTATTAGTTTTATTAATTTTGTAGAATTGTAGTTTTATTCAATTCTCTTCACGGTTTTAGTGCTTTGTCGTTTTTTGAGTTAGAATATACTAGTATGCAACAATTTGTCAATTTGTGTTATTTATTTATGTACTAATGCTTAAATAAAAAATCAGGTCATAAAGTCAATTAAACATGAGTTTATGTATGTATTATGTGAATTACATGAATTTATTGTTGTATAATTTGTTAGGTTAAACATGTTAAAATTTCTAGTACCTATGGGAGAGTCTTCAAACACTTCTACTGAAGAGAATAAAAGGGGAAAACAACCTGTGTTCAATTTATTTCCCTGAGTAGTTAGTTCGTTATTCATATGTAAACATTATGTTTTCAATTAGTTTTTTTGTACATCGGAAAGGAAAGTTTTCTAATAGTTTGAATTTAGATAATCATGTGTTTGTTTTCAAAAAATCTAATTTTTTATGAAGTGCCCTGTTTACACAGATTTTTAGGGGGCGTTTAGACGTGTAAACCGTCATGTACAACAAAACAAATCTTCTTATATTTCTTACCTTTCTCAGCATCCCCTAGAATAAAGTTCTGGTTCCGCCACTGCCCTTTCCATATATTTTCTCTATTCTTTTTTAGTTGTGACATTCACATTTCATACTACGTATTTGTCAATGCACAATTTTGACTGATATTATATTTAATTTTCTATTTAAGAAAATAATTTAAAAATTAGATTATGAAATTTGTAAGATGAATTCAACATTTTTTCCAAAAAAAATAAATCTCATACTTTAATAGAAAAAATATTGTCAAAATAGAATGTGTGAATACTATAAAAAAATCATGTTGCAACTAAAAAGAAACGGATGATCGATAATATATGACAATTTGGGAATATTGCTAAGAAATTGAAGTAGGAATATTGTGTGTTTGTGTAGTCTCCAACTCAGCTATGGCAAAGGAGTGTGTTTATTAAATGAATTCTTAATTTGTCTTTTCATTCCAAAACAACAATGGCCTTAAGCAAGTGAAATGTAAGTAAAATTTAGTTTCTCATGGACAATATTGCAATAGGAATTAGCAATAAAACGTTACCATAAAAAGGGTTAAAATATGAGAAATTTTATGTACACATATATGACCCTAACTATGGAGTCATATGTCATATGTGACATCATTATAGTCATTCATTTCTAAAGTGTAATTATAGTGGATGAACGCGCTATGTAAATGAGTAACTATGGTGATGCTGCACATGACATATGATTTCATAGTGCAGTCATATACTACCTCAGTCCCATTTATATTGTCCCGGAAGAGGGTGGCACAGTTATTAAGAAAAGTAGGTTTGTGTGGTTGATATTAATTGATAAAGTAAGAATAAAGTAAGAATGATTTAGAGCCGCACAAACTTTGCCAAATATGGTATGAGACAATTTAAGTGGGACTTCCCCAAAAGGTAAAACGAGACAATATAAATGAGACGGAGGGAGCATGTTGCTCTAAAATTTTCATTAAAATACATGAAAATTTGTTTAATACTCTCTCTTCAATTTGTTTTGCTAAATCAACATTTTATGATAAACCAATGTTAAAGTTATATCTCTCATATTGATAAATATTTCTATTTAATAAACAAAATTTGGATATTTGAAAACTACATTAAATTTTTTATAAAGTAGTAAAATAGAAATTAAAATATAATTAAGAATTAATATCCCATTTAGGTGATTAAAATGAAATTGTTTAACTCAAAAAATTTAAATGTATAAATCAATTTGAGACGAACTAGTTAAATTTTAAGAAATTGTGAAAATGGAGAATGGAATGAAACAAGATATTCCGTACGAAATACTTCGTATCGTATATAAAGTAAACTGGTTGAACAAATAGTGCAAATTTTGGTTACTTTAGCTTGTACGGAGTCATATGTAAAATGAGGCGAAAAAGATTCCTTCGAAGTTTCCGTCAAAAATCAGCTTACCAAAATGCGACAGCTCCTCTCCACTCGCCTACTTTCACATTACGAAGGAGTGCAATTTTGTACACCCTCACTAAGAGCATTTTCAATGCTATAATGTGCACTGTGCTATGGTGCACACGTGGCACGAGAAATAGCCACATAAATATTAGCAAATAAATTATTTCTCTCCTAATTTGACTGATTTTATACAATTTTGGTAAGTTTTTCCCTACAATGTCAACAACAATGTCAACATTTAGACAGTCTCCTTGACATTGTGGAGAAAAACTTACCAAAACTGTATAAAGTCATTCAAATAAGGAAAGAAAGAATTTATTTACTAATATTTATGTGGCTATTTCTCGTGCCACGTGTGCACTGTGGACATTTTACCATTGGAGATGCTCTAAGGAGGGTGATGTTCACCCCCTTTGCTCTATGGTTGTCATATGCCATTTCATTCCATTTTTTTCCTTTAAAATGTTATAACTTTTTTATTTGTAGTTTACTTTTTATAAAAAATATATCAGATTTTTTAGTTTTTTATGATCTTTCCGATGGTATCAATTTTGTATATATAAAAATTTGAAAAAAAAACATTTATTTCTAAATATCTTTTTTTAGTTGATTTTTTTTATTTTTTATATGCAATATTAGACCATATGAAAGATCGTAAAAAAAGAAAAATGTTGATATATTTTTTAAAAAAAATGGATCAAAAAAGAAAAAGATAAAACAATTGCCAAATTGTGAAGTATTGTCTTGCCACATTGCAGGCAAATAGGGGTGGAGGGTGAACATAATCCTCTCAAATGAGGGTGAACAAAATTATTCTCCATTACAAGTCATCTTCTAACTTCTAAGTCCCCACAAGTTTGTGACGTCACTTTTTTCATAATACCATGATACCCGTCTACCATGATTAAAAGAAAATTCCTAATATAAGAGCATCACCAATGCAAAAACATGAACGATCATACGTATCATGAGAGAAGTCAATTACTCGCTCCGTCCCCCTAACTTTGTCTCATTTTATCTTTTTCATCCATCCCATTAAGTTTGTCTCATATCATATTAGATAATATTTGAGTGGTTAGAATTCACTTCTATTTTATTTACACTTTATCAATTTAATATCAACCATACAATTCCACTTTTTCTTAAAAACACCACCCCTTTGTCCCAAACTTAGGGGGACGGAGGTAGTAAAAAATAACAAATAGAATATCTTTCTCTTTATTTGAATAGTCTTATATGTTTTTGGTAAGGTTTTATTCACAATGTTCACCACAATGTGTAAATGTAGACATTGTGGTTGACATTGCAGAGAAAATCTTACCAAAAACGCATAAGACCGTGGAAAGAATGAAAGAGAAACATCATAAATTTATTCCTTTGTGTCTATCTCTCTCATGCCACGTGTGCACCGTGCACATTGTATCATTGAAGATGCTCTAAATACGGAGTAGTTGACATTTTGGAGGAATGACTACTTGGGCTAACCTGGGCCAAGTCAGAACAATGGTCCGGATTGATCGAATTGATCTACCAAATTAAAATTAAAAATTTGGGATGGGTCAAGACCTAAGTTGGCCCCCTCTAGCTCCGCCCCTTGCTAACCCTAGTTCAACTTCATCAATAGATCAATTTTCCATATTACCTCATCAAAGTTCTTTTAATCTAGGTTAGTTTTATTACTCCGTATTATACATCAATTTTTTGCGGTTAGTTATTGTAAATAATTATAATTTGAAAAGTCAAACATTCCGATGTAAAAATAAATAGAGTTAATTCTCTAAATAGGACTAAGACAATGAATAAATGCACAAACATGACTTACATGTTTCATAGGACTAAAAGTTTATTCATTTGACAAAATTAACGTCAATGAATTTTAAGTCAATTAATAATTAAAATTAAAAAAATAAATTGATTTCTAGTAACACTAATTTCAACCGTGACATCTACTATTTTTGACTTTCCATGGCCGCCGCTTCAATCTCTGTCATTGCCGCCAATCTAGTGCCGATGTCGCCAATCTTGCTGCTGTCGATGCTACTCCTGTTGCCACCATCACTCCAGCATCACCGCCGGATCAAAGCCAATTCTGAATATCCAAGATGTTACATTACTGCCTCAAACTCAATTTATTGACAACATAATAATAAATTAAATTTTCTATCTTCAACAAAGATGGACACAATATTGGCAATTTCATTCAATATGCTTGGCATTTTATCAAAGGAAAACAAAAACAATTTTTGATTGGATCATCTTCCGCAAGACCAACATTTGCTTCTTGTTCTGGAGGAAGATATTTGTTTCTTCCACCTAGGGGTGGACCGGTTCTGGTTCAGGCCCGGGTAATCCCGGGTCCGGGCCGGGCCTCGGTTCTATTTTTTTTTTGGCTTTTCCTAATTAACCCCCAACCCTCCCCCCTCACCCCCAAACCACCTCAAATGGCCCAAAATACCCAGCCCAACCCAAAAACTTAAAAAAAATAAAAAAAATAAATTAATTTGGCCCGAACCGGCCGGGCCGGTTCACCAATCCTAAGGCCCGGGCCCAAACCGCATTCCTACCGGGCCGGGCCGGTTCAAACAGTAACCGGGCCGGGCCGCCCGGCCCGAGTCCATCCCTACTTCCACCAATTCTCAAATTTTCTCATGCCTAGGGAGAAATACAATAATCGTTTGAAATAACACTTCTCCGATCTCAAGTGGATCTCCTCAATGGCAACTCAAGTTCGTGAGGTTATTGAGTTTGATCTTCATTAATAATTTCAGGAGTATTGGGAGGTTTTCGAGATTATCTTGAACTAAAGTTGCTTCCTGAACATTATTAGGAATGAAATCATCATGATCATTCAATAACACCGAAGGAAGAGTAACATATTCTTTCTCAAAGACAAAAGCACTAACTTTGTCTCCCCACCCAAAACTTAATATCCTCATTTTTTAGTATTGTTACATTAACTTGAGTATGATCCAAGTAATCCTTACCATCGATTAAGGCATTCAGGGTACAAGAAAACTTTGATTTAAGATTGTTTACAAAGAAATAAAAGAGAACATCTAAACACTTGCACAATTACAAAAATGTGTACACTTGGATGGAAGATACTCAACTCACTCAAGAGAGAAACAAAATTGGAAGAAAGAATTTAAATTATGGCAGGCTGAGAAATATATAACATCACCTCATTTGGCTTTTCTATGTGACCCATTCTTCTTCTTGCCCAATTTCGGGCCTTTAATAGAAAGTGCATTAGCGACACTCTTACCCTCCAACTTCTTTGCCATCATCACAACACTTGACATACCTCTCCTTGCAGAGGCCCGGTGCTCTGGCCGGCGACTCACCATCTTACGGTCAAGAGGCCAGTAAGCATATGGCTCAAGTTTCCCCTTGCGTGCCACATCACCACCTGCCTTCTTGCTTCCATACTCACTTCCTGTGTAAGCCCACCCAGAGTCTGATGATGTTTTTCTACGTTTCTGCGTTTTTCTAGACACTTCACTTCTTCCACCATCTGTCATCTCTCTATCATCGACTGAAGATGTCTTCTTGTTGTTTGACTTCCAATTATCCTCATGAATAATGAGATGGCCCTCACTGTCTACCTCCATCTCATCATCAGAGTCTGATTTTCGTTTACGAGTTCCACTGGATCTAAGGGCCGACCTTGTCTTCTGTTGATCAAGCAAGTCAAGAGGTTCATCATCTGTTTGATCAAACAAATCCTCCTGCAAGCTCCTAGATGCTCTACGTGTTTTCTTTGACCTGCAAATTTCACACATGCTTCAGGTGACTGTAATCTTTATGGTCCGTTTTGAACCTTGAAATTCTAGGGAGAGAAAATATAAATTTATTATAGACTGTATGTAACCTTTACACTTCAGGAAAATATATAGGAATACACGACAATTCAGTGAAAGCAGAAAACAGGCTCACACATTACCGTTATTTTAGATGTTTTTTCAAATATATAATACTCCCTCCGTCCCCTTTTAAATGTCCCGTTTTACCATATTGGGATGTCCCTATTTAATTGTCTCATACCTTATTTGGTAAAGTTTGTGTGGCTCAAAAACATTCTTACTTTATTCTTACTTTATCAATTAATATCAACCACACAAACCCACTTTTAATAAAACTCGTGCCACCCTCTTCCGTCCCAATAAAAAGAGGACGGAGGTAGTATTAGTTTGTGATTAGAAAAACCAGGGTCTAATTTTAATATCTTCCATTTCCCAAGCTGACGCAAACCATAAAAAATGAACTTTCCTTTTCCTGGCAATTTAGGGGATTCAAGTTAAAGGAAACATTCCCAATAGCTATCTTCAACTTCATGAATTAAAACTACAATATACTCATCAAACGCACCGTAATGAGCATGCCTCTGACTTTTGCAGACCTCGCCTACGAGATGCATTCTTCATACCCACAGACCCTGTCTCATTATCATCGCCAAAATCGGAAAAAACTTTTGTATGATTCCATCGGCTAAGCCTGAAATGAGGATGGATTTTTGGTAAATCATATGTGAACATGATAGTCTAATGCCAATTCAGTTAACAAGAGCCTTCTTCAGTTTTTTGAGATAATATATTGTATAAGTGCTAATATCATGTCCTTGTTTAAGAAATTTAACTATTTAAGTGCTATTTGGAAAAGCAACTTGTTACTTTCTTAAATAAGAACTGGAAGTGTTTTTATTGTTAAAATCACTTTTTCCATTTTTCTATCAAATACTTCTTTTTGAAGTGAAAGTACTTAACTTCCTCCGAAAAGCACTCACTATTTGTCCCAACTTAATGTCAATATATACAAGGATAGAGAAAAACCTAGAGGTTGTTGCTCTTGATATATGAGACCTACTTTCATCAGAGCCATCAGTGTTGAGCTTCCTTTCTCTCCTCTCCTTAATCTGTGCTTTCAGAAAAGTGACTTAACATACCATGAAATGGATTGCACATAGGCATCATTACATTTTAATATATTTATACATCAAAATTTTTCCTACTAACCTTTCTTATATTGGTGAGAAGCTTCATGTGCTCCTCTGGCATTACTTCCTTGACAGCATCCAGGCCACACTTCTTGATGAGCATTTCAAGTAGTAGCTTCACCTATACAAAATCAATATCAGCAAGTTTTTCACAAGGTGCTCATATGTACAAGTCCGATGAGGTTTTGAGAAATAAAAATAGAGATAGGCACTATAGAAAGGCAGACCTTAGCTTTAAAATGGTTCTTAGAACTATCTTGCCAACTCAGGATGCCATCAACCATGCCTCTTAAATGAGAGTGCAACCCTTCAGGCTGTGATTTGGCCACTAATACTTTTAAGAGACCTAAATTAGCCTGCATACGTTAGAAATGTTAAGAGTCTTAACATTTTAAGTCTTAACATATTAGTCACTAATATGTCTTAACTTAAGACATACAATTAATGGACAAAAACTAATTAGATGGTCAACATACAAAAGCAAGCAGACAGCTGAAAATCACCTTAATTATTTCTTTGTTTTTTCTCCTAAGAAGGAGAAAAGCTGATGGAAGGACATTGAATGAAGCCGCAACAAGATCAGTGAATTCATAGGCCAACCGAGCTAAACCTTTTATTGCCGCACTAATCATGTGAGGCGCATCCCCAGCAAGGCCTCCAGCAACCTGTCAGCAAAAAATGGTCTAGCTTAATTGCATATCAATGATATAAAACACCCTTTCCTTTTCTTGCACATGAAATATAGCACAATTTATACCATATTAAAAAATTGCACCAGGTACTCTTTTTTGCCACCTCTCTCCTCATCCACACAAGCATGGCCAATCTGGACAAGAATATCGTATGCCCTATTCCGTGTCCTTTTATTAGCCTAATAATGTTCAAGGCATGGATTAAGTCGAAATCACATCATAAAGCTATAATCCATGTTCAAGGCAAGTATGAGAATAAATTAAATAAATAATAAATATATGCATAATAGATGCTAGACCTCTTTTAAAGCAAGCAGAATTTCAGTTAGAAAAGAACCAACAAGGTCACGTCTCTGTTCAGAGTTATCCTGCACAATATCCAATGCTATACAGGGTTAGCAGCTGTAACACTATATCATTTGTGGAAGTGCATCGATTAGCTTAGACACATAAGTTCTCACCTTTGATATATGGAGAATCAAGAAATATAGACAGTCCAGTCTATGGCGCTTGGCTGAAAAATGGCATGATGGCAGTTCTTCAATCATTAAATTAAGTAACCCCTCAAGCCTCCTTGAGGCAAAGTCTTCAGATTTCTGTTCATAGAGATCCATTAATTCTATTACACCACATTATTATTACTCACTCAGTCACACTTCGCTGGGACATGGGAAGTGTTGCCCGATTTAAGGAAAAGCGGAATTATGTGATTGATCTTGAATTTGTAAAGAATGGATGAGCACCAGAATGAATTTGTAAAGAATGGCGCAAAATCTAATCTAAAACACATTGTACTAGATAGCGAAATAAAACAAGCTTACAAGTGGCATCCAAAGTTTAGCTTTACTAAAATCAAATAGCAGAATGAGCTATGATCATTGATCAATAAATTGGAAGGTTCAATCAGTTTACTCCTTGGGTGGTTAGTTAAGATAATAAGGAAAAGGGCAGCCCGGTGCATGAAGGCATCCCCGCAACGCGAAGGTCTAGGGAAGGGTCCCACACTCCCGCCACAAGGGTGTATAAGGGCAAGCCTTCCCCAATCATTTTTTGACAAGAGGCCGCTCTCAAGACTTGAACATGTGACCTCTCTGGGTCACACAGCAACACCTTAACCGGTGCGTCAAGGCTCCCTCTTGATTAGTTCAGATAATGTTCTTCAAAACAGTTCAAATTTAAATGATATACAATACAGTGATACACTATTCACTAATGAATGCTTGATCCCTTTTAATCAACAACAACTACATCCAAGCCTTAATCCCAAAAAGATTTTAGGGTCAACTAACATGAATCGATACATGATATATGAGTCAAAAGGAAAAGAACAATAAAAAAGATATGATTAAAAAAAAAAGATAAGACAAAAATAGAGTTAATATATACATAAAAATGATAAGATAAATAAAAGGATAAAAAGAATATATATATATATAGGAAAATGTTCAAGTACGGTAGGCCTAAGAATTTTAGGTGCTTCCGGATCGAATTTTTTGATGAAATTTTGTGGGCATGTTCTCCATGAAGTATATGTTATGCCCACCAAATTTCAAATTAAAATTCAATCGGAAAGTCGGTTAAATAATTTTTTCAAAATTGCGCAGGTTTATATATATATAAAAATGCAGTTTTTTTTCAATAATTTATTTAACTAACTTTCCAATTGAATTCTGTTGTGAAACATGGTGGACATAATCTACAATTCATGGAGAACATGCTCACAAAATTTCATCAAAAAATTTGATCCGGAAGCACCTCAAATGAAAGAGGCCTACCTTACTTGAACATTGTCCTATATATATATATATATATATATATATATATAGGAAAAAGATCATGTCCATCCGGATGGATAGGATCATTACTCAATATAAATATATATATATATATTAAATATAAATATATATATATATAATAAAAAGATAAACTGATAAAAAATACATAAAGATAAAGAAGATAAAGGGAGAAATGTTTAGAAGAGATCCGTCTGCCACACGAATATCCGCCTTCCACTTTATCCCTTTTAATCAAGTAAAATAATTAAAAGTATATAAACATGAAAATCAGGATTGTAGAATCAAACACATTAATCAAATATAGACAACATCGTCATTACCCACAAAATGGAAATGAGCTTTTAATACAGGTCAAAAGTTTAGAGGTAGTATATGTATGGAAGTGTTTTATGAACAGTTGTAAATTCTTTGATCATTGGTTCAAGAATGGTGTAAATGGTTTGTCATTTTAGAATAACAATACCATTGTGGTTCAACCACAATTTGCAGAGTCTGATTGGATTTGGTATTTTCAATACTCTGTTCTTTAAGTGACTGTCTGAACCACATAAAATACACTGCAGACAAAAATAAACATATTCAGTTGGAAACTTTACTTGGAGCATGATCGATAGAACTTTATATGCCTTTTTCTGGACCAATGTGTCCTCATCCTGAAATGCAAAAAATATTAATGCAATGTCATCCTGCACTATAATCCCAACTATGGTGGACAGTGGCATGAAATATATACTTATTGTGTCAACTAATGGTATAGAATTAGTTAACCCTACATCAAGCAAAGAGCTAAGCACTACTTAGAGACACAAAAAGCTAACCTTTAATGCAGATTCAATTACATTGAACAACATATCAATTTGTTTGGCGTCTAAGCCAGGCAACAATGAAACTGCCAGATCAAACAGCTGAGCCCTACATAATAGTTAAATCAGATGCGCAATGAAAACTACTCTTCATTAGAAACACTTCAATTTGCTAACAGGGATGAAGAAAATTAAAGGATAAGATGCCAATAATTTTCTTGACATAATAAAGAAAATTAAAGGATGCTTTTAAATATTTATCAATCCCACCTCATTAATGCCAATGATTCTTTCCCAGATGAGTTATCCACCTGCATTGCATTTGCAACTTTGGAGCACTCTATTTTACAATATTCCTTTGTCACCTCCAATAGTTTACTCATGGTACGCTTGAAGAACCCAGTGACGACCTTTTTATCCAAAATGGAAGCGATCTCACTGATAATTGTCTGAATGTCACATGCAGCCACACAAATATGCAATATATATTAAAATAATATTAGAATAAGATGCCCTTTACATGATATGTTGGAATAAACTTCAAATCCTTGAATATGAGCAAAACAACAGTGACCTCTAAAACACAGTGCAAAAAGGATAGTTTTTTAATGTAGTGCTGTAAACCCAGGTGCCCCATACCATAAATCATTCTTTTGTGATGGCTATATAGGTTGCCAGATTTGCATTGAAATGAGCATATTAGAAAGAACACGGATATCAGAACTGACGTGGAAAAAGATCTTTAGTATATCGGTTCCAGTACAACATAAGAGGTCTATGGAGGATTTGGTACATACCTTGTTACATGTATGGCTCGAAATGAATACAAACACATAGGGTTATAGGGAATAAACTTATACAGAATAGAACATTAGAAATATTAAAAACATACCTGCAAAGGTCCAATGTTATCTTTAGAAGATTTCATGAAGGCTTCAGAAAGAATTGGTAATAATTTGCTAGCAGAGACCCTTATGGCATTCAAATTATCAGCTGCCACTTGCGTGTTGTAATGAGAAATTGCTCGCTGCTTGTGAATGCTCATACCACTGTTAGATGGATCCTCTTTTCCTTCTGCAATATTCTTGTTCTGTTCAATGAGAATGTGCAAACTGGAGCATATTATACCATGGACATCAGGCTCTTCACGCAATGCCCTATGTAGTACTTTCTCAAAACCCTTGAAGCTGTCAGCAGTGTCAAAAGGATAGTTGCAAAATGAGGGTAACAATGACCATAAAGAGTACACAATTCCATCAATAGTCCTTGCAGAAATTATCTTTCCCTCTTCCTCGAGCTGCATAACAAGTAAAGGACAATAAACTTACAAGCACAAAGGGAAGGGAAAGGAAGATAGCAGGTTAATATAAGCTATTTGGCATCAAGGTCATACCATGGCAGACCTCTGCTTCATAGCTCCAATAATAGATATGATTGTCTCGATAAAGAAACTTAGTTGAGCACCAACAATGTAATGTTTCAGAATAGGAAAAAGCCACAAGTTGGCCTCTGATAAGTCATGAGAGTCCATATTCAGAGGAAGAATGCTCAAAAAAGTTTCAGGTCCCATAGCACCAACAGCTGATCCCACACATTCATGCAACTGCGATTGGCCAACCAAAATTTAGACCAACATCTCTGGGGATTATAAAAAACAAGCAACAAACTGGAGACTGTATCAACTATTCATCTCAAAGTAAATTGAAACTATATTAAAAACTCTTTCTGGGGCAGCCAGCACGGCAAAATTCTAATTCCACATATGACAGATATCTCTGAACTAAAGCAATTGTTAATGAGACATAGTTCATTGTGCTAATAAGACAAGTTTCTTAGGGGTTACATGTTTACGATATGGGAAATCTTCATCAGGCTGCTTTTGCATCTCAGCTAAATTCTTAAGTGCTCCTTTCAAGAAATAAGAAGAATAATGACCTGAAAGAAAAACGATGAAAGAAATTTCAACTCTACTTTAAGTGTCTCTTAATTAGATACATCAAGTCCAGGGATGGTTTGTCAGGGAAAAAAACAGGCCATGGGATTTATTTCCTAAGATTAAATAAGTAGAGTAAAGAAAAATAATGCAATTACCTAGTTTGTCATACATTGCTGAAACAATTTGAAGTGAAATATCCCAAACTGCTGAATATTGATAATCAAGCAAGCTTTCGACTGTTGCACACACTTTTTCTATAATAGTTGGAGCTGACCTCCTTGTTCCCTCATTAGAACTCACTGCAACCTGATCCATGCCTTGTTTGACCAAGTTGTCATCAATGCACACATCTATTAAACTCTGGAAAGCTTCTTTTGTCGCTAACAAGGCTTCCTCATGTTCAGAAACCAACACATCTGCAATGCTCAGGAAAATAAACAACCAAACATACTCATTGAAGTGAGAACTAGCTCTACAGAATACAACACATCTATTTACATGTGATTTAAAAAAATTATCACCCCAACACCTCCACAAGAAACACCAACCAAAAAAGTACTTTAGACTTATTTAACCCAATGAAATTTTGAAGAGAGAGAGAGAGAGAAGGGAGGGAATAACCAACCACTAAGTGTGCTGAATATGACAGGGAGCTTAACCACGCAAATTTGTCTGTTAAGAGAATATATTTTTTTCATCCCTACACCTAACAAGCGAGCAGTAAATGCCATGCTATCAGCTGATGAGTCATTTGTAGAAATTGACATGGCTAATGAACATAACAGGTCCAGTAACACTTCTGGTGAAACTTCTGCTGGGTGGATACAGAGTGCATTAATTACATCTGTTACAGACCTAGTGACAAGAGGTTGACGCAAATCCAAGAGAGATTTAAAGTACTTCAAAATTTTCACTGAAGACTTCACAGACATTAACGGAAGACAAATTTTTAGTGCATCAAGAATGTACAGAACTTCTTGTGCCCCTTTCTGGCCTTCTGGAGCACTTGCATTTGATCCTCCAGCAAGAAGAAGAGACCTTTCAAAGATGTTACAGATGGCTTCACTTGCAGGTGCCAATAAAGCTTTGGCTGTAGATGACTTCTGAAATTTTTGTAGGACCTCACAAAGACAAAGGTAGCACTGTTTCCTTACCTGCCACAAATCACCCGCCAAAATCATTAAATCAAAATGATAAATGTGATTATTTTGAGGAAGAAGAAAGTTAGCAAGAACTGATCTCTTTTGGTGGACTTCTACCGCCAAAAAGGTAACGCAACCGGCTCTGCATGCACATTGAGCTTTCAGGGATATTCATGGAATCATGGCGACTGTCAGACTAAGCATGCGACATAACTATTCTATAATGTCAAATAATTGACTGTTCTGTGCAGTACAATAAATTGAATTTGTCTTCTTCCAAAGGTACATGTGGAATTTTCTGTACCGACTATGCAGATTTAAAAAACTATTTTTAATCTAAACAGGGAACATATAGATATTCTACTGCTCTAACTAAATACAGAGTACATTACTACATATCTTACACTAAGGGGCTGTTTATTTTTCTATTAAGTCCTGTCAGGATTAAGATGTGTTCTGAATTAAGTAGTATTTATATATGAGGCTGTTTATTTTGTGTACTGAATAAACGATCTTAATTGAGTAAAATAATCAATGTATTACTCTGTATTATTCTTGGGTTATAATATCAGTGTCTCAGTGAGAAATTTCATTTCTTAACATAATAAATCTATTCCACGCTCGATAAAAAAAAAAGACAGAAATGATTTCTTAATAGATGCCTTACGATGTTTTTACTTGACTGGTTTGAATCTCACACTAGACCATACTAGACTTAAACAAACCGCGCTACACTTTTGACAATTGTAAAATACAAGAGACCAGAAATCCACACCAATTCAAACCATATCCGACTAGACTTAAATAGACCAGATTAGACTAGAAAATTCCAGTCTGATTAAAAACATACTTCATGGTAAGGACGGTATATTCCAGCTTAACAATTGAATCAGTTTTTTACTTATCTTAAGTCGTGTGATAGTAGATATTCTCATTAAATAGAATGTAAACCGCCCTAAGTAGAATTTCACAAGACAAGAAAGAGCTCTTTTGAATTTCCGGGTTTCCATCACCACAGAAGCAACAAAGACCCCAACTTTCTTGCATTCACAGAAACGCGTATGTTTATGGCCTATAGGGACAAAGTTTTCCTTAAATGATCCACATTTACTGGAACTTGCAACAATTTTTGCAACGAGTATACTAACCTTTTGCCGGCCATCCACCATAAAACCCAGCAGAAGACCATAGAGTTCAGCTATATCCACCCAGCTGACATTTTCTCTGACAATCAGAAGATGTGAAACGCACTTCATACACGAGACGATTCCCTGATCGCCCGTATTTTTCTGATGGAGAATCCGGGTGACGAGATTGGAAACATAACTGAATTGCTTCACCAGCATAGCTTTGCTGATTTTATCAATCACAAGTGACAGAATGGTCGAGAGAGCGTCAGTAATGTGACCCGGGGGCTCCTCTGCTTCAGCAGTCGATAGGCGCTGGAGAGATGAGCAAGTGGCGCCAAAGTAGGCGATGGGGCTAAGAGGAAAGTTTTGATCTTTTAGCTCCTGTGACATCGCACCAATGGCAGTACATATGTGAACGTGAGAATCGTTGGTCGAATCACTAAACTGAGATAATACGGAAGAGCAGAAATCATCATCAGCGTCGCATGGAGGCAAAAATTCCATATCGTTAATCTCCATGAGCTAAAGATAGACTTCTGACACTATGGAGAGAAACTGTGGAGGCGACAGGGGAGAAGAGGAGCTTCTTGTCAATCTCCCGGGCTAGGGTTCCAGTGCTTTAATTTCTTTTTAATTGGGTGTTTTACTCGTAATTATGAGTGTACTAAAAGAGTGTTTGCAATAGCTTAAAAAAAACACTTCTCAGTTTTTGGCTTAAAAAAGCACTTATTTACCAAACACTTCCAAGTTTTATTTTTTCTCGGCTTGCGTGTGAAAAATGTTTTCCCCTTTTCTATTACACAAAAAGCACTTATTTTACCAAACACTATCAACTTTTACTTTTCAAAATCACTTTTTTCTCAAACACTATCAACTTTTACTACTAATCACTTTTTCATTACATCTCCAAAAGTGCTTTTTTTAAGCAGAAGCAGTTGCAAACACTCCCTAAGTAGGGATGATGGTTTTTGGTTGTGTTTTCGATTTCGATTCAGTTCGGTTTTGAATGTGTTTAAAGAATTACTCCGTATTACCAAATAAAAATCTTACTATTTTTTGGCTTGGTTAGAGCATCTCCAATGGTAGAATGTGCATGGTGCACATGTGGCATGAGAGACAACCACATAAATATTAGCAAATAAATTATTTCTCTCCTTATTTGAATGGCTTTATACAATTTTAGTATGTTTTTCCCTACAATGTCAACTGCAATGTCAACATGTAGACGGTCTCCTTGACATTGTGTAGAAAAACTTACCAAAACTGTATAAAATCATTCAAATAAGGAGAGAAAGAATTAATTTACTAATATTTATGTGGCTATTTCTCATGTCACATGTGCACCGTGCACATTTTACCATTGAAGATGCTCTTAGGTTTGATTTGTTTCGATTTGAATTTGTTACAGAGTACTTTTTAATCAAATATGAAGGTTTTATTAAATTTTTTTAGTTTGGTTTGGTATATTTGGTTTTTATCAGTTTCAGTTTAATAATGCAATAAGTATAAGGTGCCGATTAACCAGAAATTAACGAACATTTCTTATTTCACTTCGAACACGTATATAAATTGATTTGATCATATTTTGCTATATTTAATTTTGTTTAAAGCGTTTTCAATCTCGCTGGAAAGATCTTACTGAGTTTTAAAACTCGTCTTCGGGCGTCAGTTTCAAAATATTACGGGAAGACTACCTAATGAACCGAATTTCAAATCTCAGATTATATTTACGGTAAAAATGCTCTATTTACAAGAATGGGGTGAATTTTTTTTTTTAAAGTGCAAAAATAAAATACAATAAGTAAATGTATCTTGCATGGGTTGCCTCTCAAGAAGCGCTTTATTTAACGTCGTGGTACGACGCTATCATTGTGTTCAGTCATTCAAACTTGGATCGTGATAGTTTATCTTCTTTACGCTTTCACTCCTAGGACTTCCATAGGAATGCTCAATTTCTCGACTCTTCACTTTGAAAATCTTTCCAAGATCAAATATCCAGATTTTAATTGATTCATGTGGTGGGGGTGAGGGAAAGAAATTATCGTTAAACATGGTTAACGGAAAATGTTTTGATCCCTCAATTTTGCTGAAGATTTCAAAAATGTAATTATCCTTGTCAATTTTATGAGTTTCCCTCAAAGTTTTTAGAATTCTTGGGGGTACCTCAAAGGATGACAAAAATAGATATTTGACCTTGAAACTCGGTTCATCCTCTTCTTTGACTAGCTGGAGCTCTGCGTCTTTTTCTTCTTCTACTTCTTCTGGATTTTGGATCTTCTTTTGTATTTCCTTCTCATTTGTCAATGTGTTTGCAAAAGTTTGCTGTTTAGGATCACATTCTATTTGAGAGGAAAGTTTTTCCGAATCCCTTGCTTCAAGCCTACTTACGGCTCCGGCTATTTGAATCACTTGAGTTTCCAAGTTTGAAATGCTAGACTTGGTCTCATTTTGGAATTGCACCATGTTGTTTTGCATGGTGGTCATGTTGGTAGCAATAGCCCGGACCATATCCTCCGTAGACATGTTAGAGTTGGAGAACGGATCATACCTAATGTGAGGTACTTTCCATTGGTAACCAACATCATCAGTTTGTTCAAGCTATTCATCTCGGAGCTTTGGGCAAAAATCCGTAAGATGCTTGTGAGACATGCAAATGTTGCATGTTTTGACATCTTGAGCTTTTGAGTTTAATATAAATTCCTTTATTAGAGAAGTCAAGGTGGAAATTTGACTCTCTAAGGATGATGTGTTGGTATCCATATACTCATGTAAGCTCAAAAAAATAGAAGGGTAAGATTTTAGTTTTTATATTTTTATTTTTATTAATTTTTATTTTATTTTTTATTTTTATGAAATAAAATAAAAAGAAAAATAATTGCCTTTCCCCGGCAATGGCGCCAAATTTGACGAGCACTTTGTCACGGTGCGTCAAAATAAATTCAATACTAACACTTATACGTAGTATAGCGTAGTAGAGTTCGTATCCACAGGGAAAGGAATAATTCTCTTTTTATAAAATTAGTAAATAAAAGGGGGGTTTAGGATTGAATGATTTAATTTAATTAAACACAAAGATGAACAACTTATATGTGATTTAATTCAAAGATAAAAAAGACTTTACGTTGCTACTTTTCACTTGTTGATATATTTTAGTCGATCATTGTTATATCTATAACTTATCCCCTCTCGAATACTCAATCGAGGAGTATATCCAATTCATCGAGGGTAATTATTAACAACGACCGTTCATTAATAACCCTTACTATTAGTCAAGTATAGAACACCGCCATATACCGACTTGATAGTAGCATTTAATCTCTTAATACCTTGATGAAATCAATTGAGAATGATAACCTCAACACAACGGTTTTGGTTTAACCAACAAAATTAATCCCTCTTAAGTTTATTAACCACGACCGTGCATTAATAAACCGAAGTTACTTACTTGTGAAACCATCAACGATTAACAAGCGTATTCGTCGATCGATTCTAGTAATAATTAATAAATGAAACAAAACTAGTTGATCCTTTAAGTAATGTTCAAAATATTAATATGAAATATGAATAGGAATTAATTAATATTCAAAGAAGAATATTAAAGATGATAAATCCTACTATAACTAATGTCAAGATGTTAACTAATTGTCATCTTAGCAACACTCCCCAACATTAATATATAGAGGAAGAAAATAAATACTACTATAACTAATGTCGAGATGTTAACTAATTGTCATCTTAGCAACACTCTCCAACATTAATATATAGATAGATTAAAAGAAGAATTAATATTCAAGGGAAGAAGTTAAGAAAATAACTCACAACTTTAATAATCAACAAGCTTCAAGAGCAACACCAAGAAACGGAAGTTTAGCTCCTCATTTGGAGACTAAACATGCTATAAAAATATAAAAGAAATACTATTCTAAGTTGAGCTTAAGAGTATGGAAGAAGGAGTGATTTTAATGTGGAGGAAAGGGGGTGTATTTATAGCAAAATGGAGGTGGCAGGGTTTTGTACTCGATCCAGTATTGGGGATACTGGATCGAGTATGAGAGGAAATTTCCAGGAAATTGTGAAAAATAGGCATACGCGACCGAGTATTGCCAATACTCGACCGAGTATGACAGGATTTTTATCAAATATTCAACCACGTTCTTTTGCTCCCAGATTTGATTTTGACCAGCGTCTCTGACCAATACTCGACCGAGTATTGGCAATACTCGACCGAGTATTGAACAAATATCAAAATCTTCATTTGATCTTCTCCTTTTTGCACATTCTTTGGTCTTTAGGATCCATCCTTTGATTCTTGGGATGATTTTGACTTGTCCTAAGCTCAGAATAATCCTAATCTAAATAAATTACAAATAATTAATGAAAATAAAGTATTACACCAAAAGTGTGTAATTTTCACAACTAGAACTAATAAAATTAGTTAAAAATACAAACATATATAATAGGAAATTCACACCATCAGGCGTCAGTTTCAAAATATCACGGGAAGACTACCTAGTGAACCGAATTTCAAATCACAGATTGTATTTACGCTAAAAATGCTCTATTTACGCTGAAAACGCTAAATCACAGAGCTCATGCTTAGTATTTGTGGCACTCATATCTTGCTGTATGTTCTTCCGTTTCAAGCGTATTATATCTCATTAGAAAGATTTTTTTGAGTTATAAAGCTATTGTTCCGACTCAATTTACAATGCATTGAGTATAATGTACAGATTGTTCTTAAATTCACATACATTTCCGATTTCACTCCGACCACGTGTAGAAATTGAACTGACCATATCTTGTTGTATTTGATTCCGTTTAAAGCGTTTTATATCTCCTTGGAAATATCCTATTAGATTCTAAAACTTGTCTTCAGGCGTCGATTTCAAAATATTAAGGGAAGACTGCCTAATGAAGCAAATTTCAAAACTCAAATTGTATTTACGCTAAAAATGATCTATTTACGCTGAAAACGCTAAATAACAGAGGTCAAGCTTAGTATTTGTGTCACTCATATCTTGATGTATGTTCTTCCGTTTCAAACGTATTTTATCTCATTTGAAACATCATTTTGAGTTCTAAAACTATTGTTCCGGCTCAATTTACAATGCATTAAGTTTAAGGTACAAATTAACTTGAAATTCACTAACATTTCCAAATTCACCCCGAACACATGTATAAATTGATCTGGTCATATCTTGTTGTATTTAGTTATGTTTAAAACGCTTTTATCTCGTTAGAAAGATCTTATTCTGTTCTAAAACTCATCTTCAGTCATCGGTTTCAAAATATTATGGAAAGACTGCCTGATGAACCGAATTTCAAATTCCAGACTGTTTTATGCTAAAAATTCTCTATTTACGCTAGAAATGTTAAATCACATATAGCAGGCTTAGCATTTGTGACACTCATATCATGCTGTATATTTTTCCATTTCAAGCGTATTATATCTCGTTGGAAAGATCATTTTGAGTTCTAAAGCTATTGTTCCGAATCCATTTATAATGCATTGAGTATAAGGTACAGATTAACCTGAAATTCACAAACATTTCCGATTTCACTCCAAACACGTGTAGAAATTGATTTGATCATATCTTGTTGTATTTAGTTTCGTTTAAAG